ATAGAACATGCTAACGTAGTGCTGTGCACACTGTGGGAGCCTGACGTTACTCAGAGACAGGTATACGCCAAACACAATGGATGTGCTTTATTAACCTCAAAATATGCAGCGGATCAATAACGAATGCGTGTCTCCTTAGGTATTGAAAGCCTGGAATCTGTTACAGAATCGGCTTCAAAAGAGGCGAGAGACAACCAGATCTTCACTCTGAGCGCTTGACAGACTTCTGTTAAAGCTTAACCAGATCAACACTTTCAGAATTTTGTGAAAAATTTCTTAATTGACTCATTTCAGAAGCATAAACCTGTTTTTTTTTATAGCATTTATCTTTTGTTGAATCAAAAGCATTCTTCATAAGCAAACGAGCCAGTATCACTTCGAGCTCTTTTAATGCAGTTAAATAGTTTTCACAGATTCATGAGCTCTTTTACAGTCTACCAATTATTCTTGTGCCTATTCTTAGAAATATTGTCAGTTTATATTTAGTGGTCACATTCTCATTATACTTTTGAAGTTATGTTCACTGAAAAAGGGCTTTGACATGATTGTGGTGTAGATTATACATGAAGATGGTTATTAATCTATATTGTGCCTCCTGAATACCAAAGTAAAAAAAAAAAAAAAAAATCAGATTAACCCATAGTAGATAACTCAGTGATTCAAAGCAAAATAATTAGTGATTTTTTTATGACAGCGAAAAAAGTCGATATGAATAATTTTAAATTAGCCATTAAAAATAAAACTGGTACCTTAATTTCATAAAACTTTAATGCATTCATTCTTCATATATACACATGCATGTACAACAAATGTAACTTTTTAAAATGTCTTTCTCTGTATTAAATACCATGTCCAACTTCTGTAGATAGACCATGCTCAAACTAGTAAGTGTCCAACTATAATATGAATAGGGGTGTGTGGTGAAACTGTGACTGAAACAGATATTAAGGGATAATATGAATAAGGGTGTGTGGTGAAACTGTGACTGAAAACCAACAATAGAACGAATCAGAAATTGTGAATTACAACAGCATCTAGTGACCTCAGATATAAGATAAAATGGTTTTAAAGTGCTTTTGTTCCAACAAATTTTGCACATGGTTCCTAAAATTCTCTCAGTTGTGTCCCACTTAAGAAATCCACGTTCTAGTGTCTGACAGTGAGTCTGGCTGAACACAGCGCCTGTCCTAGGCTGTTGGATGCACAGCATTTGTAGATCCCAGAATCCCCTGGTTGTATGTGAACAAGGGTGAGCGTGCAAATGCCGTTGTTTTCATAACTCATCTGAACTCGTGCGGACTTCTCCAGCGGTGCCTCATCAAACAGCCAGGTCACTTCAGGATCAGGATATCCTGCGAAAACAAAAACATAAAGGGGAATTATGATCCAATAAAAACCTTAAAGGAGTAGTTCACTTTAAAAAAAAAAAACTTTTGCTGATGATTTACTCACCCCCATGTCGTCCAAGATGTCCATGTCTTTCTTTCTTCAGTCGAAAAGAAATTAAGGTTTTTGATGAAAACCTTCCAAGATTTTATAATGGACTTCAATGTGAACCAAACGGTTCAAGGTCAAAAAAGACAGTTTCAGTGCAAACTGTTCAAAGGGCTTTAAACGATTCCAGACGATCAATTAGGGTCTTATCAAGTGAAAAGATTGCTCATTTAATAAATAAAAATAAAGTTGAAGTTTTATAAGCTCAAATGGTCGCCTTGGTCTGTTCTGTGATGACTCTCCTGTTCGAACTCATTTATCAAAATGAACGAATCTTTTTTCGTGTCATTTGGTTCATTCAACAAACAAAATTAATGAATTGACTCATTCATTTTGATGAACGAGTTCGAACCGGAGAGTCACGAATGCACTTCACAGAACAGAGCTGGTGAGCATTTGATTTTTTTTTTTAAATGAGCGATCGTTTCACTTGATAAGACCCTTATTAATCGTCTGGAATCGTTTAAAGCCCTTTGAAGCTGCACTGATGCTGTATTTTGGACCTTGAACCGTTTGGTTCCCAATGAAGTGCATTACATGGAGAAAATCCTGGAATGTTTTCATCAAAAACCTTAATTTATTTTCGACTGAAGAAAGAATGAAATGAATATCTTGGATAACATGGGGGTGAGTAAATTATCAGAAGAAGTTTTTTTAAAAGTGAACTACTACTTTAACGAACCCTGACACATGAAATAAGTCTGAAAATCTAGTGTTTTTAAATGGGGCGGTTTACTGCATCTTTAGACAATCTAAAAATATTTCAAAGCATTAGAGTATCATACATCAGGCTTTTATGGCTAATATAGGAATATGGAACTCACACTTGCCTCAATTTTAATATGCCCAAAAATGTAATTTGGTGCAGTTGCTGATATTCATGCATCCAAAAACAGATGAAATTCTGATAGCTTGTAATCTGAGATCTTATAGTAGAGTATAGCTCGCTACTTACAGTATAATTGAGATAAAGCACGACAAATGATATTTATATGCACTTTAGCATTTACTAATACATAGTTTTATGATCAAAGCTCTGTAGTTTTAAGTGTTGGGGGCAAAACATGCAATTGAGAGATTAACAAATATATTTGATACATTTTAAACCGTTTTTCTAAAAATAAAAGCTGGCCTATCAAGTAAACTTATTTCTGTCCAGTCAGTGTTCATCTTGAAATCTTACTAACAATATAAGGGTTACAATTCTGCAAATCACATTTCACAAGACAAAAGTTGATCATTTCTAAGGCCTCTAAATGTGTGCATCATAAGATACAGTAGGCTTTATAGGGTTAACAGACGTATACTGCAGGAGGATATTGAAGAGATGCTCATTTTTTAATGCATCAATTGTTTTACTCTTAAATGATTACTGCACCGTACCATGTATTGTACAGGCCAGGTTGACTGTGGCTCCACGGCTCTCGGTTAGGTCACGCAGGGTTCGGTGGAAACGTGGCTCAGTCCACAGACGTTTCTCCAGTGACGCTACCGCTTGCTCAGCCTCTTTTCCCAAAGATAGCTCTGTAATACAGGGACATCATAAGGACAAACGAGTCATCCTCAGGCAGTTGCAGGTCATTTTCATGTCACTAGCCAAACCGAAAATAATCACAAAAGAAAGCTTCCCGACACCACATTAGTTGTCGTACCATCTACTGCAATGGGAGAATGCGTGCCATCAGATTTGCTGCTTCGAGTCATCCTCTTTAGTGCAAGCAGGGCTTTACCGGTTTTCTGCAAGACAGAAACGTTACACACAGTTTACCTAAGAACTAAAAAGTAGTATTGATAACCACATGAAATGAAGTGATGAAAGCCATCAGGGAGTTTTATACCAAAACAACTGCAAGCGAATAACCTCCTGATTTTCATACCCTCCATTTCTGTCGGGCCAGGAATCTTCTCATCTTGTCTTTGTTAAGGGATTTAGTTGATCTTGAGTTTGAGTCGTCAAATAATGCTATCCAGGGATGAGCTAAAGCCTTCTCGCAGGACAGTCTCGCTCTAGGAGTGTAAATTGAAAAAAAATAACGGATGACTTTCAGACCACTTATATTTTGAATGTTGACTGAAAATGAGCGATTAAATAAAGGTTCGATTGTTGTAAAACATGCATCATGTGACTGATCATTCACCTCTTATCCTTCATTAATAAGCCACTGATGAAATCCTTGGCCTCATCCGTGATGTCATCAAAACTCTCAGGGTCAAACTCCCATTGTGCTGCAGTGACCAGAGCCAAGGTTTCCGCATCACTGTTTCCCTGGAATGGAGACTCGCCGCTCAGTCTGGAAAAGCGTGGACATTGAAGTGTTACAGAAACCAAAACTGCACATATTAGTCAAAAATGGCTGCATTTGTAGTCCTTACAGAATATAGCAGATGACGCCGATGCTCCACAAGTCAGTGGCCAGATCTACAGGTTCATAATTGATGACCTCTGGGGCCACAAACTCTGGAGTCCCATGCAACACCATCAGAGGTTTCCCAGGCTCTGCAAGGACCCAAAAATAAAATATTTTTATGATAATACAAAGTAAATCCCACATGGCCTTTAAGTGTTAAAGAAGTCCCATCTGATTTAGTCCAGCCTATTTCAGTTTATAATACTCAAGTGTACAAATTAACATGCTACCAACATGTTAGAAAGATGGACATGTAGAAAGATGAGGGAGAGGAAAATGTCAGGGGAATAATAATATTACGATAAACCAAGACCTCTAGGACTCTCTAGGCATTAAAGCAGCAACTTTTTCAACTTAATAAATTAATTTAGAAATCATTTGGATGTTTAAATAACCAATTCTGAAGAGAGTGGTGAATTCCCCCAGCGTTCCCAGGCGGAAACCCAGACTAAAGGAACACGCGACGATGGAGAATGCTTCACAAGCTCCAGTGAAAAGTAAAAGGAGACGGTACTCGGCGGAGGAGGTGAGGGAGAGGAAGAAAGCCGTTGACCGAGCGAGTGACAGCACACGAATAAATATTGGTCGTGCGTTTACGGAATGGCGAGAGCTAAGGGACATTGAATATTGCAAAACAGATGCCGATCTGGCGTTTCTGCTAATGCAAGTGTACTGTAAGTACGCCTTTGTTTTGGGTTTATTTATTCTTGTTAGTCATAATAAATGTGTTCAACCCACGACTGTCTGGCCTGGGGTAACTGGCTTACGATCAAACGCGTTTGTTCTGTGTAACGTTACATTATCTATCGTTTGCATTGGGTTGCTAATCACTCAAAACTGTGTGTCTGCTAAATGAACTAATTACAAACATCGGATTTCGTAATGGATTAGCACTTGTCAATGTCTGTTCAGTTTGACACATTGTGTAAAGGTGACGCCTGTCCCCTCAATTTTTTTGTTTGTAGCTACAAGCGCTGGCAAGCGACAACGTCCACGCTACACAAGGGCCAGTCCAGACCACCACAACTAGTGGTGTCGAAGATCGGCGAGGAGTCAGATCGTGACATGTAATTTTTTATACTCATTTGTTCAACACACCGGATTCAAGCAAGTGAATTTACGACAGTATTGTGAAATATTCGCACCGCAGCTGTAGGGGGAGCTCCGAGCTCGTTGATAAAACATGGGACGAACGTGAAAATCCGCGAATGCCCCTTTAACATTGGAAACGCTTTGAATATGATTGTGATGTGCCTTGTATGTTTGATATACGATTCAATAAAATAAAAAAAATAACAAAAAACTATGGAAACGCTTCCACGTTTGAAATCACGTGACCAAACGCGTCTTGCTCATTGGCTGCCGCTGCAACTGAGGGAGACGTCAAACTCTTGTCAAAACTGGTAACCCATTTCTATGATGACGCCACGGGAAAGTAACATACCATTTAATTATGTGACTAGGTTTTGTAAGCACTGTTTTACCAAGCTACAAAACGCAGTTACATAAATAGTCTTCAAGAGATGACGATCGTGTTGTAAAACAAACAGTTGACAATCTCCACCTCAGCAATCTCTCTCCCAAAGTCTTTGAACATTAAATGCCGTTCGGAACATTAAATTATGGACCACGGTTATGCATTAGCAGCAGGGACAATACAAACTCTGCCGAGGAAGCGAAAGAGGTCAGATGAAAAGAGAGAAAAAGATAGACTGAGGCAGAAAAACAGAGTAAACATCGGCGCGGCCTATTCCAGGTGGAAAGCGCTGAAGGTGGAAAAGGGCATGAAGAATGACGCAGAAGTTGCTCGTTATCTGCTGGACAGGTAATGAATTACATTATGTACACTTGTTTAAAGGAATCAGTGTCGCGTCATCATAAATCTGTACTTGTAGGATATAGTGTAATGCTGCAACAACGCCGATAGCTGTCAGTGTGAAGAAGCGTTCAACACTGCTATCAAATCCGTCATTTAAACACATTGAACTTCAAATGCATACGTAATTGCATATTTATGCATGCATATTTAGAAAAAGAACAGAACGAAACACGAAAACAGAAAAACCGACAAATAACAAGTAAAACGCAAGTACGGCATACACAATGTGGAACGATTTTACAACAGAGAAAATTCATTACAGGTCATATTAAATGATTCAGAGTTCTGATTCTGAGCAGTTTTGACATTGTAACGTACATGCAAATGCCATGCTTGCTTTTCTACGTCAGTAGATTGCAGTATTTGTGTAGTGTACAAAGAAGAACATAGCAAACGCTCGCCAAACATATTAGACAGTAAAATAAATGCATGTAACCTGCATGCAACTACTAAAATTTCATGGCATTAGGAAAAAAAAAATCATTAAAGGTAATGTCAGCATCTAAGGGTATTTTAATGGCAAAAAAAAAATCAATTACAAAAATATAATTACCTGTATGTATTTTATAAATGATGCCTCTTCCACGTCCTTTTTTTAAACTGTTTGTATTGTTATTTATTTAAATATCTGTACTGTGTTGTCTCTATGGACCTTTGTGTCTGGAATAAAGTTGATTGATTGATTTCATATAAACACAATTAAATCAATTGCAGTCAATTAAGTCAATTGCTTTAAATGAACATATGATACAAAAATAAAAACCAATGCATAATTTTTCAACACTTTTCCTTTTCATGCATAATCTTACTAAGTCCTTAAGTGAAATAACTTCATAAAAGAGCAGTCTACTTGTATTATACCCAGTCCCGTAATTTTTTTTATACACGTTCTACTTCTATCATACCCAGTCCAGTAAAATATGTTTGCATTTTAATATAAATTAATTTACCAGCGTGTACTTTAAAATACTGTTTTTTTTAAGAATGCTGGTAAACAAACAGTTTACAGTAGCCATTGACTTCAATAATAAGAAAATACAATGGAAGTCAATATTATTGTTAACAATCTGGTTACCAACATTCAAAATATATTTTTAGTTCAACATAAGAAATGTATACAGGTTCTGGAATATAAGGGTGAGTAAATAGTATAAACTTGTGGTAAAATAGCCATTTTCATTTTGGGATGAACTATCCCTTTAAGAGTGGTGGGTCAGTAAACCGCGCGTTTACGTCACTTCCATAAACACAGCGCGCAGCGCGCGGTAGTGATGGGAAGTCCGGTTCTTTTCCGCGAACCGGTTCTTTCGGACAGTTCGTTTTAATGAACCGGTTCAAAAAACCGGTTCACCAGTTCTTTTACGTCATCACGTAATGACGTCAATTCTATCATCCTGGCGGATAAAACTACTTCAAATTACAGGCATTTTTAATCATAACTTCAGTTAAATAATAGTACACATCGTCATAATCATCTTGGATAAGTTTCTTACATTTACATTTTGAAAACGAACCTGCTGCAGCCTAGGCGATGTGCTATAACGCGGATGTTTTACATGTTTTAAATATATAAAATGCATAAATGGTCTTCATCATTTTATTTGTTATTAAATAAACTTACATTTCGCCGATTCGCCCTCTCGTTTAAGTCCTGGATTCACCCGTACTACTGCGTGCTCGTATATCAGCACAGGATCAGCCGAAAGAAAGTTCTGTTCAGAGACGGCGCTATCACGCATGCGCAGTATCTCCAGCTCATCGGTTCTCCGTATCGAACGTGTCCGAAAGAAACAGTTCTCAGTTCTGTACTAGTGATTCAAGAACAGCAACAACCAGTTCTCGACTCGAGAACCATAGCATAGGCCTGTGTGCTGAGCTGAAACCTGAATATACAGTCAAAACTAAAAAATCGATGCATGTCTGTCTCCAATAGCCTTCTGTAGCATATACATCATGTTTATAATGTGTTAACATAACGAATTAAACATGTTTAATTCGTTATGTTAACACATTATAAACATTTTCTAAGCAGTGCACCATTAAAACCTTGGCAAGAGTTTACATCAAAGATTTATATTGTTACTAGAAATTAAATGAGCTGTTCCTGAAAATATTATATTAGTATAATAATAAATGTTTAGTTTGACAGTTTTAGAATCCAATCATTGTTTCCAATCGTTAAAATAATACAGTGATAATACAGTAATTATGTGATAAACATGTTTCCAAAATGTTTTATTTTGTTACACTTACTGATGTTCAACTAAACTAAAGACATGGAAACGTACATTTCGTCCCTCAGAAAAAATGCACGCATGCTCAGCTCATCAACTCATCAGTTCTCAGTATGTCGAACGTGTCCGAAAGAAACAGTTCTCGGTTCTGTACTGGTGGTTATCCGACCGCTGTACCTGTAGGCTACGTTCGGTAGCACACGCATGCGCAGTATCAGCTGCTCGTGCTCATCACTTCTCTCAGCACCAACACGTCTCCGTTCAGTGAACTTTGAGTTACTTGAATAAAATATACTTCTGGATATTGGTTTATTTCGATTCGGAGGGACTGTCAGGCATGTCTGAAAGTGCGAACTGTTTCGGACGATTCAGTCTGATTTAGTGTACTGGTTCGACCGGTTCACTAAAAAGAACCGGTTCAAAAGAACGATTCGTTCACGAACCGGCCATCACTAGCGCGCGGGACTGTGCTCGTGAGTGACTGCAGTAAAATACTTGTACTTTTGGAATTAGTCATCTAGATTGATTATGGATCGTTTAACCTCCGAAGAAACCCCCGTGGTGAAAGCAAAGGTGTCTCCACACAAAATGAGGAAGAGAGAAAGCGACAGAATCCGCAGCAAAACTAGAATCAATATCGGCAGGGCTTTTGAGCGATGGCGACAGTTGCGAGAGCTGAAGGGCTTCAAGACCGACCTAGAGCTGGCTCTCTATTTGCTGGACACTGTGGACAGGTGCTAAGGTTATGGGGCTTAACTGATAGTAAAAAAAAATTAAAAACAAATTCGTTTGGTGTCGATTGGGGATGTTTAGTATTTGCGTTCATTAACTTATTTATAGCGTATAACGATTGCCAGCGTTATTGCAGTAACGTTACAGAATTACCAAACGACAATGTTCATATTCTCTTTTCGTTTATAAGGGTGTGTGGGGAACATCTTCCACAAGTCCAACCCAGTGCAGCTCCGAGAAAGAGAGGACGACCGCGGAAATCAACATTTGAACCGAAAACTGAGGTATGGAAGAAAATATAGTTTTACACAACAAGCACAGTCCGCCTAAACCAAGTATTTAAGGTAACAGTTGCAAATAACCATATAAACAGAAAGGAAACACCAGCATCTCTTGTCAGACAAGTATTTATTTTGGGATTCATTCAGCCCAGTCCAGACCCCTCCTCAACAGACCACTCTCAGTCCAGTTCAGACCGCCAGTCGGACTCCGAATCTCAGCCTAGTCCGGATCCCCAGCCCACAAACGTTGAGGTCCTTGGTAAATGCCATGACCTTCCTTCCCTTTGGCCAAATAAACCAGTAAGTCCTACTTCAAAACTACTTTGGTCTGCTTATGCCATTATTACAGTGCTTACAATCCAGCAGTATTTAATATCTTTGACCTTAAGCTTTTCCTCAAATGGTTAAATAGGGGCTACTAACAATCAAATCCTAAAATGGATGATCTGCACACTTGTGACTGCTCAATTGAAACGTATTAAATGTTGTTTACTGTACGCTACCGCTTACTGCACTATAATTTTGCCTTTCTTACTAGTACTAAGTCACTATTTTCCGTTTAGGATAAACAAGCACAGCCTGAAAGACAAAATTATGGATCTGATCTAGATGTCGTGATTGGTTCCATTGAACCATCCTACGGCTTTGCTCGTCATAGTTCGTCTTCAAGCACAACTACAGAGGAAGACAATGCAATGAACTGGGAGGAAATAAAGGTTGGTAAAACTGTACTACAAATGGTCTTTCCAATGAAAAATGTAGACTTTTCAAGACTAGTTTCCCATAGTTCAGTGAAGTCGTCAATACTCACTAACACTTTAGACCAGGGGTGTCCAAACTCAGTCCTGGAAGACCACGGTCCTGCAATTTAACATAACTTGCCTCAACACACCTGTCTGGAAGCTTCTTGTGTGCCTATTAAGACCTTGATTAGCCAATTCAGGCGTTTAATAAGGGTTGGAAGCAAACTTTGCAGGACGGTAACCCTACAGGAGCAGGATTGGACATCACTGCTCTAAATATTCTCAACCAAAATCATTGCATCCTGGGATGCTTAACAGATCTTAATCCACTTATTTCAGTTTACTTAAATGTTTTGCAAAGAAATTAGAGCCTTCTTAAGCCTTCAGATTGGTTAAGATGTTAATACCACAAGAATAAATGTAGTCAAGGTTTCCAAACTGCGCAAAATCTATCCAGTAAGCTCACCAATTGTTTTCGGTCTTCTAGGATGAACTGGCACAGACTACACAGCGACTGGAACAGCGTTTAAACGTCATGAGATCCTTAACTGATGGAGCATTAGAACCCATTTCAATGACAAAAGGAAATGATCAGAAGGAAGTAAAATGGGTGGTCAACAAATCCAGTTTGACGGGACTTTTTAGAACCTGCCATCAGTGTGGAGATCCAGTTCTGGAGTTCAAAACGTTAACATCGGGGAGCCTCATCCGCATTCAGTGGGAATGCTCAAAGGGACATCTCATGTGGCTTTTCCCCAACAACCCAACGTAACAGACACTGAAACCGGACTGCAAAGAATAAATCTAGGTTTTATAAATTGTGAATAACAAATAAAGTTTACTTTGGAATGAACGTTGACTTTCTCAACCACAGTATCATTATTTCGGTCTTACAATAATTCAAAATATCACAGAAGTACTTGGTTAAGTTTATAGTTGGGGTCGTCTACAGTAGCGTTCAAAATACGGTCAATCAGCTTTTGAAAGTAAATAAAGATTGTATCAATTACATCAGTAAGTGGCGACAAGTGACTTAATGTCTTTACAAGTGAATTAATGAGAGATGTTCAAAAACGCAATTTCAACCAGTAATGAAACGAGAAGTTAATGAGTTCATGCAAACCTATATTTTTTGAAATGGACTATAGCAATTACATTTTGTTAGAACCTCTATTAAATTACTTTAGTTATCCATTTACAATCGTGGGAGAATTGGGATCTCCATTTTAAACCATTTATCCAGAATCATGCAACTCTAACAGCGTATTGCGAAAGGGTTGGGACTAAAATTTGAGTTTGAAGACGTAACGTCGCCCAGACGTAAAACTCACCCAGTTTTCGGGCCAATCCAAAGTCGATGATCTTGATGAGCGTCCCAGTGCCGTTCACACAGACGATGTTCTCTGGCTTCAGGTCCAGGTGAATGATGCGTTTGCGATGCATGTACTGGACTCCTTCCAGGATCTGACGCATGTAGTTCACACTGTTGGGTTCGGTGTGCTCGAAATTCTCATCCACAATCCGTTCAAACAGCTCACCGCCTGCAATACTTCAAGACATGGATTAGAAACATTTATATTAGTGGCATTTACTTCAACTTTCAAAAGGAAATATGCAAACATTTTTGGTGGGTAAAAAGAACAAATTTGGAGAATGCGACAAACTTAAATGTTTTTCCATTTTAAATACAGAAACTGAAAGCATGCTCTACCTACGAGTATCATTCTAGTGATTTAAATGCATTTAAGTATTAAATAAAATACCCACTATGTTAAGATGGTCTTGAAGGAATAGTTGTCACCAGTTACTCACTAAGTGCAACAGCTCCATAGATCATTTCAGAACTGTTTGTAATGCATGTAGAAGCAAACGGCATTTAAATGTGAAATTTTAGTCAATTTTCAACTCACTACTCCAGAACCATGACTATCTCGGACGATGTGTCGTAGGCTGCGAGACACTGCACCAGCTTCGAGTGGCGTAGTTCGTTCATCAGCTTGATTTCTTGCCGCGCTGCCATTTTGTCTCTGGAGACACGGGCCCGGTAGATTTTACCCGCACACACCCGACCCGTCTGCTTATGGGTCATCCTGAACACTTCTCCGAACTTCCCCCTGTGTGGAGGTACGTTAAGATATTCATGTTTGGGATGACCAACATAAATCCCAATTTTACATTTTATAAAGCGGCTGACACTCACATTCCCAGTTTTTCATGGACGTGATAATGATCCCTGGCTTTATGTGTGGTGTCAATCACAACATCCACATATGAGGTCACGTCCTGTTGTTGCTCAACTGTAACACATTAATCTTGCTTCAGAACTTTAGACTTCTTAAAATAATTATTACTGGCTTGTATGTGTGAGAAGAGCATAAATTATAATGGCGTCCATTTACCTGCGGTGTTCATCTTAATGCAGTCCGACTCCTCACTGGGGTCACTGACTCCCACTGCGTTGCAGGCACGTACTCTGAAGCGATACTGTCCCTGCGGGTCGAGACCAGAGCGGACCCGATATGAGGTGTTCGGACACTGGTCAGCGAGTACCGTCCAGTCCCCGGGCTCGTGTTGGTCCAGTCTCTGCCGCTCCACCACGTATGCAGTGACGGCAGATCCTCCGTCGAAGCTCGGCCCAGACCACGACAGAACCAGAGACCTGCAGGTCAGCTGGGACACGAACGGACACGAGGCTGGAGGGTCGGGACAATCTGAGGAGAACCAGTGTTTTTGTTAACTAAAATTAAACAAATTGAAAAATTAGATCAATTAAAAGCTTAAGAGATTTAAAGGGATACTCCACCCAAAAATGAAAATTGTCATTTAGTCAAGCTTAAGTTGTTGCAAACCTGTGTGAGTTTTTCTGCTCAACACAAAGGAAGATATTTTGAAGAACCATTGACTTCCATAGGATATTTTTTCTATTAAGGAAGTCAATTGTGCCAAAAAAAATCTATTCCAATCCTTCTTCAAAATATCTTGCTTTTTGTGCATCAGGTTCAAAACTCATACAGGGTTGCAACAACTTGAGCTTGACTAAATGACAATTTTCATTTTTGGGTGGAGTATCCCTTTAATAAAAATGACAAAAGCAAAAAAGTTAAGTACGATCCACATCAAGGTTAACCGTCAAGCTCATTTTGTGTTCATCACAAGCATTTATTCACACTTAACCCTTGTGAATCAATTTAAAAAAAAAAAAAAGTCACACGGGTAAATAGAGGACTCAAATGTCCATAAGGATGTACAAGGGTTAATGATCATAGCTGATTCATCAATCAGTCAGCAAAAACGAGCTACAATATTAACTAAAAACTGAATAAAAAAAGTAAAAAACAAATCTAAATGGAAACAAGAATATATAATTAATAAAACCAATTACTAAGCCAAACTAAAAATATAAATAGAGGACTCAAATGTCCATAAGGATGTACAAGGGTTAATGATCATAGCTGATTCATCAATCGGTCAGCAAAAACGAGCTACAATATTAACTAAAAACTGAATAAAAAAAAAAGTAAAAAACAAATCTAAATGGAAACAAGAATATACAATTAATAAAACCAATTACTAAGCCAAAATAAAAATGTAAAAAAAACTAATTAAAAATAAAAAGAAATTAAAATTACAAAACTTAAACATATACAAACTAATATTTTATAACTAAAATAACACCAATAAAATAAAGAGTTGCGAGTTGTTATCACCACAGATGTAAATGTGTGTAGAATGATTTTATACATCAGAGAATCCAACAGGTCTACATTTCTTTTATTCAGAGAATGAACAGTCTTACCAATGACACTGAGGCTTGCGGTCCAGTGAGCCGTACCACCTCGGTTACGAACAAAAAGAGAATAACGTCCTGCGTCTACTGGAAGAAGCTTAGAGAGAACCAGTGTGCTGCTGCTGCGGCTGCTCTCCACACTCACTCGTGGGCCTTCTAACACAACCTACCAGAGCGACAGAAAACATGCAAACTGACTCGAGGACAGATCTTAATGATTTGATCTTGAGAACAATGACCACAATCACTGCATTAAATATCAAACCAACAAAGCATTTCTCTACACCAAATTCACCTCTCTTCTCAGTGACATCTAATTAACTGGTATGAAGTCAGATCTCCTAGCAGCAGTTTTCTTCAAGCCCTAATCAAAGACACCTGAACAAGCTGATCAAGCTCAATGGAGGAACAGGTGAGTCTGATTCGAGGAGCCCAGCACTAATGCTTCACAAACGGGTCTGACCTTTTCTCTGTCACGAATCCAGCAGAAAGCCACCGGCCCGGAGCTTCTGAAACGGCAGTGGAGTCGAGCGCTTTCTCCGACACGAGCCACGACCGGCAGCTGGGGGTCCAAAAACTCAACTACTGCACCTGGAAAACAGTCGGAGTCATTACAACAAACAGGCTGACTACTGTACCTGACACAAAGATGCTGCTGCACCATTAAAGCTACAGCATAAGATCAATTCTTGTTACAGTATTGAGCTCATTTTGAGGATCAGAATTAGTTTGTAGCCCCAGTGTTATTTTGGTAACACTTTACAATAAGGTTTAAACTTCTACAGCATTAATTATTCTGAAAGTTTACAATAAAGCACTGAACTAACATCAACAAATGTTAAAACACTGTAAAAATATAGACCTCATTGTCAATTAAGTTAGCCCTCATTGTAAAGTGTTACCAATATTTTGAACATTGAAATAATGTAGTTATTTAAGATTTTGTATTAGATATTTTATTATATTTAAGTAATGAAAATATTTATGGGTTGTTAATTTATAATAATCTTACGCCCCCATAACCCCCCCCCCACCCCCCCCCCCACCAAAAAAAATGCTTTTAACTTTAGTTCAATTATGTTAAATTAATGAATGTATCCAGTTTGTTCTGAAATATTCAGCACTCTAAATTTGTCATTCTAACACGCATCTGAAAGCTTTGTTAAATCTTAGTGAGTAAAACTGAAACATTTTATCAGAAATCACACACTCACCTGAACTGCTGGCCGTTTTATTCAGAGTAACATCTGCAATGAAACACACAAGTCATGAACTTGAATAAGACATGTAAGGTCCTTCTCAAAAAAATAGCATATTGTGATGAAGTTCATTATTTTCCATAATGTAATGATACAAATTAAACTTTCATATATTTTAGATTCATTGCACACCAACTGAAATATTTCAGGTGTTTTATTGTTTTAATACTGATGATTTTGGCATACAGCTCATGAAAACCCAAAATTCTTATCTCGGCTATGTTTACACGGAAACGATTCTGAAGAGAAAACGCAAAAGTGGTGTTGTGTTATTACTTTTTATTCTGCGTTGTTTAGACCAACGTTTTGGGTGGGAAATCCGCGTGCATATGGTGACGCAAAAGTGCGTGAAATTCAATTTAGTATGCACTCCAGGCGCTAGGTGGCAATGTGGAGCACTACCACAGAACAACAACACTTTACACGGGAACGCGACGGTGGAGGGTTTTTAAGATTTCCACTCTTGAGGGTGGTTTCACCTTTTTTGCGTTTTAAGCCCCCAAAACGCCTTCGCCGTGTAAACCAAAGTTCACATCCGATAAAATATTTTTACGTTTTCACCCGCGAGCGTTCTCGTGTAAACAGAGCCTCAAAAATTAGCATATCATGAAAAGGTTCTCAAAACGAGCAATTAACCTAATCATCTGAATCAACTAATTAACTCTAAACACCTCAAAAGATTCCTGAGGCTTTTAAAAATCTCCCAGCCTGTTTCATTACTCAAAACCACAATCATTGGGTAAGACTGCCGACCTGACTGCTGTCCAGGAGGCTATCATTGACACCCTCAAGCAAGAGGGTAAGACACAGAAAGAAAT